AGTAAAGGCAGCCCCAGTAAACTGAAAGGTGGTAAATGCCACACCACTAGACTCAAGAATCCCTACTGTACGGAGCATCCGCTGACACCTGTCAAGAAAACCCTGGGCATCCTCGCCCTCAGCACAACTGAATGTTGGAGGCTGGAGTCTACCAAACCTGTCAAGACGACGCTGCTCATCCTCCGGCATAACTGGAACCCTGAACTCCTGCACTGGTGCAATCGGCTGAGCTGGAGGTGCCTCTGTCGTTTGTAGTCCCTGCACTACCTGCTCAGGTGTGCGAGCAGCGGGGGTCTGGTTGCCTCCCCCGGCCTGCGAAGTAGCTGCTGCTGTGGTGGCTGAAACTGCCTGAGCCAGGCCGGTGCAAACTGTCAAGATCTGTGTCAAGGTCTCCTGTAGACCTGGAATCACGATGGGCACAGCTGGTGCCTGAACTGGTGCTGCTGGAGTCTGATCCGGAGCTGGGGCAGCTGGTGGATCAATAGATGCTGCCCTCGCTACTCTGCCTCTGCCACGACCACGACCGCGTCCACGGCCTCTGGTGGCCTCAGTGGGTGGTACTGGTGGTCGTCCACCTCGTCCGGTAGTGCGAGTCCTCACCATCTGTGAGAGAATAGAATAAAGAGAAGATTAGTACTCGGATCAACAAGTTCGCACGACGAAGAATTTCAAGAAGATGAAGTTTTTCCTAAAGGTTCTGCAGCCTCTCGAGGATAAATACAGACGTCTCCGTACCGATCCACGAGACTCTATTAAACTGGCTCATGACTCGTAAGACCAAGGTACCTAGGCTCTGATACCAACTTGTCACGACCCCAACCCCGGTCGTGATGGCGCCTAACACATTGCTAGGCAAGCCCGACCAGTTTACACTCACAACTCCCTTTGCTTAAAATTCATTACCAATTACCAGAGTTAATTACCAATTCAACATCAGCAGAAGTCTGAAACAGAAGATAAAGTACGCAGAAAACCATAACGATATCTTTACAATAGCCCACCGATCCGGTGTCACAAGTCAAGAGCCTCTATTACAAGTTTTAAACAGCCTAACATAAAGATAGTCTAGAATATGCTGAAAGGTAAAGATAGAAGGAGAAATCGGGTCTGCGGACGCCATGCAGCTACCTCGATAACTCCGGTGGATGATGATTAGCAAGAAGACCTCACTATGCCTCGGGAATACCCGGATCTGCACGCAAGGTGCAGGGAGTAATGTGAGTACTCCGACTTAATGAGTAATAATCATAAATAATGGCTAACAGTAAGAAATCACGTAAAACCACTAAGCAGTTCTATATCAAAGCAGTAAATCAACTTAAAGCAGCAAAATAGTGAAGAAGTCAAGTGAAATCTCCTGATCGGGTAAGACAGGTAGCTTATCAGGTATTAACAAGTATAACCCCGTTCCTCGAACACAGTAACCATATATCTCTCACAATCACTAAAATCAAAATGACCGCTGCGGCTTGCAGCCCGATTCGTACATCGCTTGTGGCGCACAGCCCAATCCATATAAATAGTCGACTGCGCTCACTGGGGGTGTGTAGACTCCGGGAGGGGCTCCTACAGCCGAAGCACTATATTGCTGCGGCGCGCAGCCCGATCCACATATATATTTGCTGCGGCGTGCAGCCCGATCAATATAAGTATTTGCTGCGGCGTGCAGCCCGATCCATAATATATGTATGTATGTATATATATATATATATATATATTACATCCTCACCATTTGGGTTCTTAACCCCTCTCAGTCATTATAATCACAGCCTCTCGGACACAATAATATAAGGTAGGGATCTCAGCCCACATATTTCTTTCATTTAGGATTAACATTTCAAAAACCGGTTCATACTGTTTTAAACAGTTAGAAACATGACTGAGGATATGGTTTTAACAAGTAAAGTGAGGAAAATCAGTCATAATGCCCCCTAAGGGTTCTACAAGTCGGCACAAGGCCCCAAACATGGCAACTAGCCCAAATCATAATGATAATTATTAAATCTCAGTCAAAAATGCGGTGAAATCATCAATCGGGACGGACCAAGTCACAATCCCCAGTAGTAATGGACCCCACGCTCATCATACAATGTGTGTCTCACCTCAACATAGCACTACGTTGTGCAAATCCGGGGTTTCAAACCCTCAGGACATCATTTACAATCATTACTCACCTCAAACCGGCCAAAGCTTTAGCTCGCTATGCCCTTGCCTCTCAAATCGTCCTCCTCGCGCGTCGAATGACCACAACCAGAGCAAATACATCACAATATGCTAAGGGAACAAGGCCCAAGCGAAAACAATCAAAAAATATCAAAAATCTCGAAATTAGCAAAACTCGAGCCCCGGGTCCACTTCTCGAAACTCAGAAATTTTTACATCATTAGATTCATTATCTCCCCGCGAGTTCATACATATCAAAAACACAAGAATCGGAGTTCAATTGACCCCTCAAATCCCCAATTTAGACTCTCTTAATCTCAAGCCCTAAACCTCCATTTTTAGCTAAATTTCCATGAATTTCTAGGTTAATTTCACAATATAATCACGTTTTTTTTTTGTTCATAAAACTTACCTCCAATCAATCCTCTTCAAATCCCTCTTCAATTTCTCCCAAAGAGCTCTCAAAATGTTCAACAATGGAGGAAAAATGACTTAAGCTCGCGGAATAAAATGTTTAAAAACCCTTCTGCCCAGGGGTTTTCGCATCTGCGACCCCTCCACCGCTTTTGCGGTACCGCATTTGCGGTCACAAGTCCGCTTCTGCGGAAATTCATTAAAGGCCCAAATCCGCATATGCGGTCCACCAGCCGCATATGCGGCTCCGCAGGTGCGGGCACCCCACCGCATCTGCGGTCTCAACCTTTCTCTCCCAAAACCGCTTCTGCGGTCAAATGGTCGCATCTGCGACTCCGCAGGTGCGGTCCCCATACCGCATCTGCGGTTCCTGACTCTCCTTCCTAAAACCGCATCTGCGCCTTTCCTTCCGCATCTGCGATACCGCACCTGCGGTTTCCAAGCCGCAGGTGCGAAAATACTAGAAACAGCAGAAATCTGAAATTGCACAAGTCCAAAATTCTTCCCGTTAGCCATCCAAAATTACCCCGAGGCCCCCGGGACCTCAACCAAAAGCATCAACACATCCCAAAACATCATTCAAACTTGTTCCAATCCTCAAAACACCTCAAACAACACCAAAACCATCAAAATACATCGGATTCAAGCCTAAGTTCTTCTAAAACTTCCGAAACACGCTTTTGATCAAAAACCCGACTAAACGACGTCCGAATGACCTAAAATTTTGCACACACATCACAAATGACATAACGAAGCTACAGCAACTCTCGGATTCCCATTCCGACCCTCGGATCTAAATCTCACCTATCAACCGGAAATTGCCAAAAATTACTAACTTCGCCAATTCAAGCCTAATTCTACACCGGACCTCCAAAACCACTTCCGATCACACTCCTAAGTCACAAATCATTCCCCGAAGCTAACCGAACCATCGAAAATCACATCCGATCCCTCTAACTCATAAGTCAACGTCCAGTTGACTTTTCCAACTTAAGCCTTCTTTAAAGAGACTAAGTGTCTCATTTCCTTACCAAATCCACTCCAACCACAAACCAACCAACTCGACCACATAAAACATGGATAACGAAGCATAAAGAAGCAAAAATAGGGGAAACGGAGCGGTAACTCATGAGACGATTGGTCGGGTCGTCACAGAATACTTCTCTAATTCTTCCGTTCTTCATAGTAATATCTGAATATCAGCAGTCGATCAACCAGGAGAGTATTGCAATATCAATGAAGCATCCGTAAATCAAAGCACAGTGCACCTTCTGAACGGTACACTCTCCTCAAGAAATACCAAATAGTAATATCATTCACCTAGTCATCTGAAACTGTCCATATTGTTCACAATTCACAACCTCCCCTTCAAAACTGATCTGTGACCTTGCACATGCAAATATCAATCCCACACAGCATACCGCATCTGTAATGCCATCATATGAAAAGTACGAGAATCTCATAATCAACTCTGAGTCACCAGCACAATACATACCCGATCAGTCAGAAACCTTCCATTTGATCCCATCCAGGAGAAAATCACAATACGCAGCATGCTCCTCACGTTGATAGAAAATTCCATCTCAAATCGTGGTAGAAATCATCAAAAACTCTTCAAAACCCATTTGCACATAACCAAGCCATCAGAACTGAATCTCTCTAACTCAACCAGGCCATGCAAGTCATCAAAACCCAAAGCATTGCCAGAAAACACCTGTAGAGACTCACCACATCATAAGTACCCAAAGAATTGATCATATCCATCACTGTGTTGATCCAACCTAATACCAAGCTGTCCTATTTCTCTGAGTTCCTTCCGAATTACCCTCAAGGTGATACTTCTCCTTGTCAGAACATCACGATCCTTACCCAAAGCTCGCCATAAGAGATCCTAGCATCAAACCACACCGCCCTAAGGCCCATAAGCCGATGTATTCCCTCTTAAGCACCCCAAAAGTACCACAACCGAGACACCCACTCTGAAAAGACCTTTTGTGAACCTAAAGACGTTAACTTCACCTTCCTGACACTGAAATATGTTGTTATACCCCATTTTAAACTGGTTAGAATAAGGTACAACATATAAGCAATTCCGGATTTTATTAAAGTTGAAGAGTCGCCACCTAATTAATTATGGTGAATTGGGACACCTAGTGTTGATTAAAGTAATTTAAAGTATAACTCTATTAATGGTCTACTTAACCTAAAGGTTCTAGGTAAGGGTTCAAATTATCCTAACGAGAACGTATTAGGCATTCATTACGATCCATAAAAATAGTTAACCGACCGGACTTAGACTCCTATTTTAGACCTCTTGAAAAGTGAGCTGCAAACTATTTTAGACTCCTAAAATATTTGATTTCAAAAACTACAGAAAGCTCCAAAGCATGTTAACATAAACAAAATCATAAACCAAAAATGTCTTGACTAAGAAATCCATTTTTTAGAAAAAAAAACGTACTCAAAATTTAAAGAATTTCAGGACGTTTGAATTGATTTTTCAAACATTTGCAAGGAACTTGTTTCAAGCCTAACTTCTTCCATTTTGGACTTAAACAAAGTTGATTTAATTCTCAGCTACATAAGGGTCTACTACCCATATGCCATATAAATATCATTCTAGATTATATACTACATAGGAATGAGTAGCACCAAAAGCAAATACAATAGTCACAACAAATGAAAGAGATGAATTTTCCAACTTCTCTCGCCTCTCTGCTTTCTGTTTGGATGAGAAGGCAAGAGAAGTGGATGAAGAAGAGTGAAGACGGGATGCTGGTGTCGGGCAAGGCAACGACATTGAGTCTCGGAACAAGACCCGCCGCAACTCTGGTATGTCATGCAAAAGAAGAAAAAATAAAAGAGGAAAAGGTTAGAAGAAGAATCTGAATCTCAACAACACACATGCTATGAATAAACAAAATGAAAGTCACATTGCGGCAGTCAAAACATCGAATATTTCTCATGTCGTACATGGGTACATGAATCAGAACATGAACAACTTAGAGCATGCATCCATATTTCATCTTCTAAAATAAGTTTCTACATAAGAGTTTCTGTCTTAGCATCCTAAGTCATGCTTCTAGTTCCAACCTATTTTAAGTTAAGTTCTACATGAAAGTACAAATACTATTAATACCCATCAAGGTGTGTTAGTACTAATGAATAGTATTTCCAAACATACTATAACGTGAACCTATATTAATGCTACTAAGGTCAAGACATGACAACACACATCCTGTTAGCACCGGATTATCTCACGTAATATTTTAAACATATAAGACATGATCCCTATACATCTAAACTAGAATAAATCCCTTATCACATCATAATGCCATAGATTGAAAAACTGGCAGAACTTTAAAGTAAAAAAAAAAGACTAACTTTACACCCTATTAAACGTTATTCTTAAATTAGCAAAAATACTAGTACTTAATTGTGGATCTTAAGGAAGAACATGAAGGCATAATGTCCACAAGATAAACATGTGAACATTTTAAAGTCTATTTGAAACAAGCATTTCAAAGCCTATGGGCATGGCATCTATAGTTTGCAATAAGCTTAAAGTCAGGATTTTTCTATTAGAATGCAAAAAAATAGAAAAGAGATGCATTAATAAGTATCAGAAGATATTTTTCTCTTTTATACAATATATAGGTAAGCAAAATAGTGATTAGACCGAAAATCATGTCACTAACTACTGAAATCCAAATTAATAGCCCGATACCCTAAGGAAACACCAACAATATACATGACATATTTATTATCAAATGCAAGAAAAAGATTTAAAGTTATAACGTGATGTGCAATTATAAAAACGTTGGACAAAATACCCAAACAAGAAGATCTTTTAAGGACACGGTGTCAAAATATCACCAACATATTTTAGTACAACTAAAGAAAAGAAAACTGAAACATGATTTTCCTAAGTAGGCGTCTTACTTAAAGGAAAGAGAAATCAGAAAAGGGCCGAATTTTACCTTTTTGTGAGCAGTGAACGGGGCGTCGACCTCGAATCTACTCTCTCGTTATGAACAGATCCGAACCTCGAGTCGAATGGGCTCAAACACTTCTATCGCGGCTAAAGTAGGCCGCGACAGTAAATAAAAGTTTGAAAGTTGTTTCTAAAAGTTTCTAAGGGACGAGAAGAGTGGTAAGAGTAAGGAAAATAGTAGTGTTTACACTAATGTTTGAGTGGCGGCTCCAGCCCGTCCAGAAGTGGTCCGATATGCAAGTATTTATAGTGAAAAATCTAGGGTGTTCTCTTGAGCGGGAATTCTTGATTTTGATTTTGAATTTGTGGTCAAAGAGTCTTTCGAATCCGAACGTTTGAGGCCTTCACATGATTTGCCTCAGAAAGCACCCGAAATGGAGAGATTCACTTTAGCTTAAAAGGGTTAAAGTTTACCAGATTATCGCTTCGAGGAAGAAGACAAGACTTGCTTCGAGAAGAGAGATAGTAAGGATCCTTTGTACGAAAATAGAGTGGACAATTCTCTGCCATGGTCGAAGAAGAGCTGAAATCGATCGAAAAAATGGTATGAGAGAGAAGAGAAAAGAGGCGTAGGGTTTAGAGGTGGTTGGGCTCATTATTTGGGTTAATTCAAAGCAAAGTTGATGGGTTTGTGTTGGTTTGGTGCATTTTGGCACGATATGGGCTATGGAAATGGGTTGTTGTGTGGTTTTTGTGAAAGAACGAACTTGGGCCTTCAATAGGCCGAATTTAATTGGTCTTTTCCCAATCTTCAAATTATTTCTTTTGAACTTCTTTGTATTGAGACTCAAATTTATATACTATATATATGTATGAGAAAAAAATAATATTAAGTAGATATTTATAAAATTAAAGTAATGACAATATTAGTTGCGGCAGTATTATTAATAACAACAATAACAAACATAATAATAATAATAATAATAATAATAATAATAATAATAATAATGATAATTGTGAAAGTAGTAAAAGTAGTAGTAGTAGTAGTAGTAGTAGTAGTAGTAGTAATAATAATAATAATAATAATAATAATAATAATAATAATAATAATAATAATAATAATAATAATAATAATAATAATAATAATACCAATACCAATAAAAATAGTAATACTTATACAAATATTAAAACTAATGACAATGGTAATAAAAATAAGGTATTCGGTTTATTAGTAACTTAGAAGCTCAAGAAAATAAAATAGAAGAAAGGAGGGACAAAATTGGATGTCAACATATGTAATCCATAATGATAAAAAAATACCACGAGTCTCGACGCCATCCAATGTAATTCTCAAATTCTAGCCATATACAAATCCGAAAAATTCTCAATTGCCACATATAAGTCTTGAATCTGTTAGAACCCTTTCGAGAGTCATCTTGCCCAGCTCAAATCTCAATTTCACTGCCCAAACGGGTCGAACAACCTGTTCACCATTAGCACGACAACACCCATTGAAGTAACCCCACCTTAACACAACCGAGCAAATTTCTACGCCATGCGCACTACATCCTTCACGAGTAACAACTCAATCATTCCATGATTCACATATACCCATAGAGTGTAATACAACCCGCATCTAGAAATTCCCTTACCCAAGTCATCCTCAATCTCAACTTCTGCAAGTCCTAACTGATTCACAAGTATTCCTCGGACTGAAACTAATACAATACGTAACCATGAAACCAAATCGTCGATAGCAGATTCCCCTACTTGGCTCAAAGCCATAGATCAAAATACTCGATAACTCACAATACTCATACTTTATTACTGTCATAATACCGCGTGTGAGATTCAACTAAATCCTTCATAAACTCATGTAACACATACCACATAATACCTTAAATCATCTGCTAAGCTCACATTCGTCATCGTTACGGTTATGTCAATTATTACAACTGATCCTAACTCAAATCTCACAATTATAACCCACTGGTAGAAAAAAAGCCTCCACACAATATCACAAGGGTAACACATCCGTACATAACCCCGTAGATTATAACTCACCTGCTTAGCCTCAACTGACATCTCTCTATATCCTTGCGCAGCCACAACTACTACACAATCACTTAATCTTCCTAAGTCCGAACTCATCAATAAGACATGAGAATCTAATTCATTCCAAGATTAAGCAACATGAAAGGTGTCACGACCCAAACCCTGATCCGGTCGTGATAGCGCCTCTCGTGAAGACAAGGCCAGCCAACCAACTCATATCGCCTTTTCAAAATAGTTAAACATGAATAAGCAGTCTAAATATAATTTAATAATATTAATTAGCGGGAGTACAACCCAGCACAGCCCAAATCGGGATGTCACAAGTCACGAGCATCTGTAAGAGTGTAAATACAACTACAAGGTCTAAAAATACACTGAACAGGAATAATGAACAACAGAGAGAGAAGCGGTGCTGCGAACGCTGGCAGTCACCTCGCTAAACTCCTATAGCTCTGCCTCCAATCAGCCAAAACCCGCTACTGGGTGAATAAATACCTGCATTTGCACACGAGGTGCAGGGAGTAATGTGAGTCTCCAACTCAGAAAGTAATAAGAGTAAATAAAGACTGAGCAGTAGGAAATAATGAATCCACATTCGCGTTAGGCTCAATAAACAGAACAGGCTTTCAAATCATAATACGAGTCAACCTTCCCTTTTAAAACCCATCTTTTAGTAAAAAAATCATTTTTGAAATGCTTCCAGCAGTTTTAGTAGGGGTTCAATACCATTTAAAATAACAATAGAGATTAAAGCAATAATCGGCCCCTCGGGCAAAGCATAGTTCGTAAAACAGCCCCTCGGGCAAAACAGTAATCATAAGTACTTCATAACTTGAAAATCTCGGTGGGAATAACCAAATACCAAATCATTGATTAATTTCGGAACATCTCATAACCCCGGTTTAAATAAAAGTTGTTTTAAAAACATTTGTTCAACTTTCCGACAGAGGCTCAATATAAAGATGAGTGAAAACAGTCAATCAATCAACATATTCGATGGAAACTCACTTTAAAGAGAAGTGAAATCAATAAGTTCATAAACAAGCATCTCAGGCAAACATCACTCATATGCATGGCTATATCTATCGCCCCTCGGGCTAGCCTCTCTGTCACTCGTGACTCAACTCTTACCAACCAGTGCTCACACTCGGCACTCACGCTCAATAGGTACCATATAGTAATCCGCTACGGCGTGCAGCCCGATCCATATATATATAATAATCGTTGCGGCATGCAGCCCGATCCATATATATATATATATATAATAACCACTGCGGCGTGCAGCCCGATCCATATATATATAATAACCGCTGCAGCGTGCAGCCCGATCCATATATATAATAACCGCTGCGGCGTGCAGCCCGATCCATATATATATATATAATCCTCACAACTGGGCCCTCGGCCTCTCTCAGTCATTAACATCACTATTAGACTCTCAGTCTATCTCAGTCGTCAATCTCACAATCAGACCCTCGGTCTATATCAGTAAAACAGGGAACTCAACCCAAACAGTTTTTCACATTTTTAAGAATATAATGATAGAGCCAGGTTTGAGAAATAAACAGATAAAAACATGACTGAGAATATACTTTCAACAAATAGAGTGAGGAAAATCAGTCAAATGCCCTTAAGGGTCTCAGCAAGTCGGCACAAAGCCCCAAACATGGCATACAGCCCAAGGTATAATAGCATCAAACAATTAACTATCAAATTACTCATTTAAAATAGTCATTCGGGATGGACTAGGCCACAATCCTCAGCGGTGCTCTACCCCACGCTCGTCATTCAGCGTGCAAGTCACCTCAAAGTAACACATCGATGTGCAATCCGGGGTTTCAAACCCTCGGCACAGTATTTACAATCATTACTTACCTCGAACCGGCGAAATCTCTAGCTCGCGAGGCCTTTGCCTCTCAAATAGGCCTCCACGCGCGTCGAATCTATCCAAAATCAGAGCGATTACATCACAATAGGCTAAGGGAACAATACCCAATCGAAAACAATCGAAAAATATCAAAAAATTTCGGAATTAGCAAAACCCGAGCCCCGGGCCCACTTCTCGAAACTTAGAAATTTTCACATTAATAGGTTCCTTATCTTCTCACAAGTTCGTACATACCAAGAACTCTCAAATCCGAGCTCAAATGACCCATCAAATCCCAATTTGACATATCAAAAACTCAAGCCCTAGTTCTTCAATTTTTGGCTTAATTTCCATAAATTTCAAGGTTAATCTCACATAATAATCGCGTTTTAAGATCATAGAACTCACCTCCCATCAATCCCAGTCGAAATCCCCTTCAATTCCCGTCCAAAAGCTCTCAAGGATGTTCAAAAATGGAGGAAAAATAGCTTAGCTCGCGGAACAAAATGAACTTTTAAAACCCTTCTGCGCAGACATTTTTTTCGCATCTGCGGTCCGCTTTTCGCTTCTGCGACTTCCGTTTCTGCGAAAATCTTCCGCTTCTGCGGAGCTTCACTAATTGCCCTGGACCGCTTCTGCGGTCTAAATCCATTTCTGCGGAATCCGCTTTTGCGGGCCTCTATCCGCTCCTGCGGAAACCAGCCTCCCTAGAACCTCTCGCACCTGTGACCCCATTTTCGCATCTGCGGCCCCTTTTCCGCAGATACGGAAATACCAGAACCAGCGAATCTCTGAAACAACACAAGTCCAAAATTCATCCCGATAGCCATCCGAAATCACCCAGAGGCCCCCGGGACCTCAACCAAAAGCACCAACACATCCTAAAACATCATTCAAACTTGTTTCAATCATCAAAACACCTCAAACAACACTAAAACCATCGAATTACATCGAATTCAAGCCTAAGTTCTTCTAAAATTTCCGAAACACGCATTTGATCAAAAACCCAACCAAATCACCTCCGAATGACCTAAAATTTTGCACACACATCCCAAACCAAATAACGAAGTTGTAGCAACTCTCGGAATTCCATTCCGACCCTCGGATCAAAATTTCACCTATCAACCGGAATTCACCAAAATACTAACTTCGCCAATTCAAGCCTAATTCTACGCCGGACCTCCAAAACCAACTCCGATCACGCTTCTAAGTCACAAATCACCTCATGAAGCTAACCAAATCATAAAAACTCCGATCCGAGCTCATATACAAATAAGTCAACTCTTGGTCAAACCTTTCAAAATCAAAGCTTTCAACTGAGACTGTTCTTTCAAATTCATACCGATTTCCATGAAAACCCAAAAATAACGATCTACATCAGTCATAACACATTACACGGGGCAAGTCATGCCCCAGAACTGGCGACCAAAGCGAAAAAGCTCAAAACAACCGGTCGGATCGTTAAATCCTCCCCCACTTAAACACACGTTCATCCTCGAACGTACCTAGAGTTGTTCTAAAAGCCAACCAGTCGCTAAATAACCGTACCATGCATATACTCGGGGTGATCCCACGTCACCCTACCTCCTATAGGTCTGACAACACATAGAAATTGAAATTTCACAATCCAATCTAGCCCATAAACCATAGAACTACATTTCCACTTCGGAAATCATCAATACAATCAGAATTTCACATTTATACTCTGAATAAGCCCAAACAAGCTGTAATAACCCATACCTGCTAACTCAGGTGCAATCACATGATATACCACATAACTCAACGCTTGTAGCGATAACTTCTAATCACAGCAACTGCACACAACAACCGAGACCG